GCACAGCATTGATCCAATTTATATACATATGTATTTATAAACAAAATATATACGACGAAGAATAAAATTTAAAAAAAAACACTTATGTATAATCGGTGCTATTTTCGTACTAATAAATAAATGCATGACTAGATGTGTTTAGTTGTTTATTACTGTTTTGTTTTGTTTTGTTTTTTTTTAATCACAAAAGTCGAGATTGTTTGTATATTAGAAAAATGAACAGTTCTTTTCTTTCGACTTTTATTATCATAATCTACATCAATGATCATTATAAAACGACTGAGTAGATTATACAAGAAGGAATGAACTAAGTGTTAATAATTATAAAGAAATATATATCATGAAAGTTCATCAAATGAAGAAATAAGTTGAGAAAAATGTTTGATTACTTCACATTGAGCATCTAAATGACGTTGAGCACTATGTAATAATTGCATTTGAATTACTAGGAAATAAAAAAAAAAGCCAAGGACCTATGACAGATTTGAGTATTTACAAAGAGAGAAAGAGAGAGAACGAATGACTTAATGCACATTGACCATGAAAAATATGGACATGCTCTTTTTCTAAAAACGGAATTTCACAGTAATAACAACGATAGTACTTTTTTGTCTTTCCTTGCTCTTTTTTTTTCTTCATCAGAACGAATAATGACGGAAAAACAACAGTAAATAAATTGATTTTTTTTTCTCTTTTTGCTTGCTTATCAACATACATCAGTAGCTTGAATCGCCGTTGTCGTCGATGTCGGCGAAAGCAGAAAAAAAAAGAAAAACGAGCTACGTCTCTTTCTATGCATGTGTTCTCTGTCGAGCGAGACAATTAGGTAATCGCAACAACACACTACATCTACGTCTTGACGTCGCCGTTGTCCCGTTTTTTTTTTCTTTTTTTTTCTCTATTCTTCACATTAGTGCATTAGAGTGTGTAGAATGATGAACTTTTTTCTTTTTTTCTCTCGTCTTTATTGTCTTCCTACTCTGCTAACTGCCGCCCAATACAGCATATTTTCTTTTCTTCTTTTTCTTTTCTTTTATTTGTGTTCGTTCTTTTTCGTCTTACACACACAACTCTCTCTCTCTCTCTCTCCGCCTTCCTATGCATATATCATGATCTCTTCGACGCTGACGAGAGTAGGCTTCATATAAATAATCTTTCACGTTTGCGCGATGCTTGTTTCCTTTTGCAATATTCGTCACTGAAATTTCACATCGTTATTCATTCAGGTATGTGTCATCAGGTGGTTGAAAGCTTCTTCAATAGACATACACTCTTGTGAAGGCACATAAATATATGTCTGAGAAAAAAATGAAAAAAAAAAAAAAAGAAAAAGAAATCCTTACTTCAATGTACAAAGGGATCAAATTTTTCGTTCGCTACACCTGAGCCACTAAATATCAATTTCGTATGAAGATGTCATCAGCAAATCATCAAATTTGTCCTTTAAACTAATGCACCTATCATCATGTGTGCATTCATTTCTTTCTTTTTTTTTTATCATTTCTATGATGATTTCTATTTTTCATCATACATTGTCATCTTTATTCGAAGTTCGTTTTGTTCATTTTTATTTTGCTCACCTTGTCTGTATTATTTATTAGCGCCTATAAAATATTCACCTATTATTGATGTCGCATTGATATCAACATCATATTAGTATTCAAAAATGCAGAGTAACCGATCGTATATAAATACATTTAGTTATGTGTGCTTTTTGTCTTTATATGCATATATACATATATAGAAAAAGAGCAGGCAAGTATTACATTAATAAATATGTGCACACACACACATTCGTTACTTACAAAACTACTTGATATATGAGTGTCAAGGATGAAACGCATGTTCCCTCGTCAACAGATAGACAATAAGACAATAATATGAAGAATATAAATTTGTTTTTTCGATGTTAAAACGAATAAAAAAAAATATATGAATAGACATCATTCATTATATGCTCGTGAGTATAGATTAACTTGATAAAGCATACGATTATTTTTGAGTGAATACTACCTTTAGTGGTTAAATTTATAGTTGTAAAAGACAATAACCGAATGAAGAAATTTTTTCATATAAAATATCAATAGCTTGTAAGAAAAAAACCTAGATGTTTTTTTTTCTTTTTTAACAATGTAAAACAAACCGGAATTTTGGGGCGAATTTTTCATTTTTTTTGTTGTTGTTATTTGTTGACATAACAAGCGTATATATGTTATGTTGATTTGCTCTCGTCTTTTTAGATTTATACTTTCATTCGATTATGCATTATGTCTTCTCGCTTCGGGAGATTCATAAGAGCTTCCGTCTTGATTAGTAGGTATTGAAAAAAAAAATATATATATATACATATTGCTAAATAGTTAGAGTTTTTTTTTTAGTCATTTTTTTTTTTCGGTTAAAAAGGCATATCATTGGTTCTCGATGAGTCTTGTGCTGATGACAGCCTACGTTCTTTTTTTTTCATCATTGATGATGAAATGTCCGATTGAATAGAAAGTTGTATGTTCTCGCGGCCCACATAAGAGCACGCACACACGTGCTTATACCTCTGCATAGAACAACAAATGAGATGATGATTGAAGTAATCGAACTAAATGTATAAAACGTCCCTGAAGAAGTAGATGAGCTTTATCAAGCGAACACAGGTAGTACGGCTTATCTCTTGAAATCCGATACATATGCTTGCTCTGTGTTGCTTGTAAATCAATTATGAGAATCGATGGAATAGAAACCTTGAAGTGTTTGCATACAAAGGCGCTGAAATAGCTAGGCATATGTATTTGCTTAGCAGATCTCCTTGTTTCTCCCTCTCATATACACGAGCACACACATTTTGTTCAGCTTCTTCTTCCAATGTTGACGACCTTTTGTCCTTTTTTTATTCACTTTCTTCTTTTCTCGTGCCGGTGTGTTTTTCGATGTATATTCTCAGCTATGTGTGTGTGTGTGTATATGTATGCGCGGCGGTTTGACGGTGCACCATACAGAAACGACGACATGACGAAAAAAAAAGGAGAGAGAGAGAGAAGCCAACAGCAGTAACAGCAATAGAATGAACAAGAAAGAAGAATAAATGTACAGTGCAAGGGCCAGACTAATGGGTGTGCACATATGTATATAGAGATGGAGAGAAAGAAGAAACATTCTAAATTTTCTTTTTTTTCTTTTTCTTTCTTCTTTCAATCAATAATGACTAGCAGACTGTAGTAGCAGTTTACATTGTCATACAGGGTAAACGTGAAATTTTTCTTGTTATTCCTGTTTTTTTGCTTTTTTTAAATTTCAATAATAAACAAAAGGTTTGTTTATCTTTCTGCCCTTGTTAATTCTTTATATATATAAGTACCATTTCGGTGTATCCTCTTGGAAATGGTTCGCTGATGTATTGATTGATTAACGAGGTTATCTTTTATGTGTGCGGATGTATGATGGTGGCAACAGCCGGTTTTGATTTTTTTTTATGCATACATCGTATATGCATGTTAGTAAGAGATAGATTAGAGAGCGAAGGTTGATGATAACAATCTTTGACAAAATCTTCAGAAGATAAATGAGGTAGTTTTATAGTAAACAAACAACAACCGCTGAGACTTATTAGTAGCTGAACCTTGTAATTCTGATATTCTATAGGTCAAAATCTTCTGTTTTGTTTTTCTTTTGGTATGCTCTCCATTGGACGATAAACGATCTACTGGGATTTTTCAAAGAATATTTTTTTTTGCATATAGGATAAACATGATTAGATAGGAGTTATTCATTGGAGAATTACGTTAATCTTTAAGAGTTATATACTTTCTTTTTTCTCAATTGTGTAAGTGACCATAACATTACGTATGTCGTAAATCGTGACTTTTGTGTCAAGAGAGTAAAAGATGCCACTTGAAATTTTCTTTCTATTAACCATTTATGTAACTGACCAAAAAAAAAAAGTGAAATAAAATATGTACCAACATTCGTTTTTCTTTTCTTTAACCCTTGAAAAGAAGAAAACGAGAGTTGTACAATCAATGTAATAGAACTAATATGAATCCTATGTAAATAATCTTCGATATCCTTGACGAAGTTAAAGCTTTTTAAACAAGACTATTTTTCATACGATTCATTTACATTCATAATAGTGGCTTTATAAAAAGTTTTTTTTTTTTTTCATTTTTTTTGTCAATAATCTTAGCATTTGTACTTGAAAAAATTTATTTCAATTAATCAAACATTGACAAAACGAACACTTTTTTGTTACTCATATTGACTTTAGCAAATGGTCTTATTGATATATAACCAATGTTTCGTTTTTTTTCTTGTATTTGATGAGCTTCACTAGACTTTGTCATTTTATTTATTGAACTTGTTGTTTGTGAGCGCAAATAGTAAGCTTTACTTTCTTACACTAATCCGATCGACTCACGATTTATTTTCTCTTTATCGAACATAAATTTACCTATAATACACATAAATTTCGGTCGATTTTGAACATATATGTTCATCGATCACGTCCAAATAATAGAGAAATACAGAGAGAAGCTAATTTTGAACATAAACATACACACTGATGTTGTAGTCATCGTACATATATAATCTAAACAGATCTAATGTAGGACGAGAGCGAAAGAATAAGAAATGAAATGCTTGTCAATGTTCTGGAACTCATTTGTGCTGTGCAGACTCAAGCAAGCATAGAATAAAAACAGCTTATATGTATTTATATATACATACAGAAAGCCCATTACTCTGTAATATCTTATCCATTTGAGTAGAGACAGAAAGATGGCTATCAGATTAAGACTATGTCTGAAGCGTTACAGATGAGCATTTATATTACGATGAACTAATATAAAACCTAAGAAAAGCACTCTAAGCTGTTTATCTATTATTGAAGTGCTGACAACAAATCATTCATCAATGATTATGTATATGTAATTTTGTTTGGGAGGAAAATGTCATCTCATTTCTGTTTCTTTTTATCTTTGTTTTGTTTTTTTTCTCTCTTGTAGATGTAGATAAATATGACCAATACTGACTCATCTTCACCACCACAATTCGATGTGGCAACAGCTGCACTCGAACATCTTGAATTGCTCAATAATTCTAATTTAAATCCACTGGAAATTGCAGCTCAATTTCGAACATTACTACGTTCAAAAAAAGCACGTGGAAGTGATGCAAATAATAAAAATGAAAATTCACCAACATCAAATTCCAATATGGATTATACATATATGGATTATCTTGCAGCTGATGCCGCACATCGACGACGTGCACGTTCTCGTGGTCATACAGATCGTCGTTCAAAATCTTTAGGACGTATTAAATATGATCTTGATGATGATGATGATAATAATAATACAAATAATCAAAGTACATTTAGTCATTACAATCAAGATCAATCATCATTAAATTATGAACATGAACAATCAAATTTACGTAATACAATCGATGATACAAATATTTATTATACAACATCAGCTAGACATGGAGGATTAATTGCTACGACAAATAATACAACTCGTAATTATTTACCTGAATCACATTCTTGTTTTGGTCTTTCAAAATGGCATGATGAAGGTTAGATAATTAAATAAATATTAATTTAAAAAAAAAAAAATTTTTATATATAATATCAACTATTCTAGGTGATAGTTCTACGGAAGATGTTTATGCTGATTCTGCTGTTGGTTCTGATTATAGTGAACCACAACCACATTTAGCATTTCCTTCAAGTAAAGCTGTATCATGTGATTCAGCTATATCAGGTGTATCATCTCATAGACAATATTCATCATCAAGTTCTGAACAAAATCCAATAACTCCAACATCATTACCATCGATTCTTATATCTCCAAGTAAACAACATTTTGTTAATCTGTCACAAATTGATGAAACATCTGAACAAGCAACAAGCATTGAACGATCTATTTCAAGACCAATGAATAATAATAATAACTATTATCCGACAATTAATTGGAAACAATTACGTGAAAAAAAACATGAAAATAGTTTAGATAAAGCTAAAACATTTGTTTCAACAACATTACCAAGAAGACCACTTTTATATCAATCAGCAAAAACAACCAATTTAAATACATCGTCACCTATATCATTATTAACTTATCATAAAAATCAACCAAATTTTCAAAAACGTATTGAACAATTTCATGCAACATCAACAAGTCGTCCATCAAGACAACGAGCTGTAACAACTGATCTTTCACAAGCATTACAATCATCAACAATGACAACAAGTTCATTAACAACAGTTTCAGCTATATCAGCTAGAACACCATCTGAAGCCGAATCATTTACATATCCAAATGTATCTGAATTACGAAAAAATTTTGAACAACATACAATAAAAAAAATTGCAAAACCTATTGAAATAACATCAACTAATTCATTATCACCAACACTTGAATCACCATTATCATATGCACCATCTATTATATCAACCAGTGGTTCTCGCTCATCATCATCATCATCATCATCTTCTTCATCAGCTTCAATATGTAAAAGTCGATGTTCATCATCATCAAGTCGTTCATCAAATGAAATTCGTACACCATCAATATCTCCAACAAATTCTCGTCGACCAAGTTATACAATATCACGTTTAAATGCAGCATCAATGAATAATGAAGATATACTGTTTCCAATAGCAGATTGTAATCTTGTTATTAAACATAAAGCAACAGGAGGACCTAAAAAACCTGTTCATTATAATCGACGTCCATCTTCTCCACATCCTCATCCACATTTAGACATTTCAAATAATTTATCGAATTCAATGTATTCGATATCGAGTGGTTATACCGAAGAAGCTCATCTATCGGGTGTATGTAACGAGAATGAGCTTATGGGTGGAAGTACAGACGATGCAGTCTATGTATAAAAAATGTTTTCTCTTTTTCCTTTTTTTTTTTTCTCTTTTTTCTTTTTAGAGATCCTGTAACAGAGTTTCTAAATATATATTTTTTTTCTTATTTCTAACTGTTGTGTGCGCGCACGATTGGTTCGTTTTAGTGTTTGTTCTATCGTTCCATTCACATTACGTACACAAGATGTGTTTTCACTGTTGGTTAACATCACCTGCGAGTATTCAATTTTTCTGCTATTTCAAATTCTTTTTTTTTTCTTGATCTTTTTTTTTTTCTCTTTCTTTTTGTGATTCTTCTTTTTAGTTGTGTAAATTATATTTGGTGAGGTTATGTTTGAAATCAAAAAAGAAAAAAGAAAGAAATATAGATACAAATGATGATATATTATGCAACATGAAATTTATATATAGGTAGTTCGGCTTCAGGTGGAACAAGAGCAAGAAAGAGAAACGCTTGACATTTTTTCATGTGTGTGAAATTAGATCTTGACCCATATTGCATGTACATGCGACAAACGATTGAGTCTATGCTGTAGAAGCCTGACTGGGATATATAATTGTATGGTTTGCAAGACGAAATAATGCACGCATACATCTATGGCTATTATAGATGATGATGTAACCACCAATGGTTGGTACATTGATGAAATGATTTATACAATTTGATGAGAGAAGAAAGACGAGAAGATTTGATCAGTCTAAATTATAAATAAATAGTTTTTTATGTGGATAATTATAATTTGAAATAGAAGGTGAATGAATTTTTTCGTTTCTTATTCTCCTTTTGTTTGTATATAATATCACTGAGTACACCCAATTAGAGGGACAGACATATAATGAATAGATGTTCATCTATAATCCAAACTGACAATGCATACACCCATACAATTCAAAATTGTCTAGTCAGTAAGAATATAAGTGAGGTTCATGAAAAAAGAAAACCAGACAATGTGAAGAAGAACAAACAAATCTAACAACTAATTGGCATTGAAGTGCGAAGAGAATGATCATTGTGCTGGCGGGTAAATAAAGATTGTTAGTTCGTATTTATATCGTCAAATATTACTGATGATTAGTATTCCTATATGAAAAAGTAAACTAAGAAGAAAAACAATTTCTCATATATTCATATTGTTTATGAACTGAATCTTGACAATAAAAACTTCGGAGATATTTAATTGGATTTATTTAAACAATAAAACATATCTCAAGTGACAATGAAACAGAAAATTGAAACAACAAATGCTCGTGGGAAAAGAATATATCAACAATAAGATGACAATTTATGTTATATAATACAAAATTGATGTACCAAATCTTTTTTTTTTTTCTCGACAAGGAATACGTATTAACAAGGATTAAGTTGATGTATGAACAAAGTTTAAGATCATAATTCAATTATTTGATTTTAATCAAACGATGTTATTGTAAAGAACACCTAATCTTTTTTAAATTTAAATTTTTAATCAATAAATTGACATTTCATCGTTTTTCTTTGTCCTTCATAGCAAATGTTGCTTTTATAATTATCATACCATAAAATAACAAAAGGATATTATAAATTACACAATACAAATACCCAAGAAAAGTTTTTTCTTCTATATATGAAGACAAGATAAGTTTTAAGAACAATTTTTGTATGATAATTATCATCAAATTGATGAAATAAAATTTAATAAATCTTTTTCTTAATTTAATAAAAGTTCATCAACTCTAATGTGTTCATTTTAGAATAAACAACTATCCACAAAAGGAAAGTCATATATTTAATTAATTAATTAAACTTATTCTTCTTCATTGCACTTATCATTAACGTCATCGTTTATTAAGATTTTCTTTATGAATAATACTGTGTCTTTTTCTTATCACATCACAAGTGATATATATTGTTCATTTTCAGTAATTGAGTATGCCTTGAAAAAAGAAATTATTCATTATCATAAATATTCTTCAGCAGTAATGACAATTAGTGATATATAAAAGTTGATCGAACTACATAGTTTATATACGGAAAGGTCAATGAAAATAAACATTGGCAGCATTTGTTCGTTAAAATGTTTTCAAGTATGAAATGAAACGAATATATTGAATAATTAGTTTGGAAGAAATAAGGTCACAATCATCGTATAACTAATTTCAAACAGGGTGCGCATGATCACAAATGAAGCACACCTGGAATGTAATTTTTTTTTTTTTTTTCTATAAATGAGATACAATGATAAGATGTTTTTTTTTCTTGAGAAGAACTGCGTCGTTTATTCGCTTGATTCATCTTTTGTTAGAGTATTTCATTATACATATGAATATCTTGAATTTTATTACTTTAGTTTTGTAACAAAATTCAATAGATAAAATTGAAGAAGACTTTATTACAATTATTTACATACATTCGACTTGATGAAAAAAAAATTATAAAAAATTTAAGAAAAAAAATTTCATCAAAAAGTATTCTTTGTAATAATTATTTTATTTTTTTTTTTAATGTTCTCGACAGCTTTTTCGACTTCTTCAATCCGATGAGCAAGATGTTGAATTGTTATCCGTTATTAGCTGGTTCTAATGTAGATTTAAATTCAAGGTCCCGATATTTTGATGGACAAGTAAAGTTAATGTGTTGATGTTGGTAATTGGTGTTATTGCTGGTGTTACAATCATCAATTCCTAAAGGCATAAAAATATTTTAAGCATCTGTATTATTGATAAAGAAACGAGCATACAACAAGGATGTGGTTATTGCTTAACAAATAATATCATAAATTAGGGTACATCAGAATCGATTGAAATCTATGAAAATTGATTACAAAACACAAACTAAACCGCAGTACAATAACAATCCTCGATACTCTTGCACTTGGGGTCGGCTTTTTCCATAATCTTTCAGAAGAATTTATGTGGAGCATTTAAATGAGCAATAGATGAATTTGCTCGTCCGCAGTGAAAATAAATGATAGATTCTTTTTCATTATTAGTCTTCATTTTAAGAAAAAAATTGACATTTAGATAATTTCTGTCCTCTAGCCATAATCTTGTGCTTGAATAAGTGAAGGACAAATCAATATTTTTAGACGCAAAAAATTTCGCCATTATTGAAATCTAAAGAGCATTATTTTTTCGTATGCAAAAAAAAAATTTTAAACATATTTGGAGATGCACGGGAGCAAGTTTTTCTATTCCTGAACTGTGGGAATGAAACTTGGTTTTTATTATTATGTTGATTTCTTGCAAGCAGCATAATTTGGTTCATTATTAGTAGTGGTGTAACTACGGTAGGGCTCGGTTGAGCTGAGTCCAAACACCGACCATTTAAAAAAGTTTTTTTTTTTTCTTAGAACAATAAAATGAACAAAATGCAAGACATTTACATTTTTTTTCCTGACAATAGTAGTGTGCGTATGCTGTCTGCTAATAAGATTAGACATATTCTGATCAGATTAAATACATGTAAGGTACGCACAATATAAATTTTCAGTAGAATTTTTTTTTCTTTTTCATGATAATCGGATAGAGCTCGTCGAGATACATAAGAAAACATGTTTCGAAGTTAAAAAAGTAATTTTACGAAAATTACAAAATACTATTTATTTCAAACAAAAGCTAAATACATTCAAATCTTTGTTTTTCGGAAAATTATTTTTTTCAAGTTTGAAGCACACACTTTCTTATACAATTCGATGAAGTCTATCAAAAATATTCTGATGAAATTGTGAACTCTGTTTACCTTACATACATTGTAAACACTATAAAAATCCGAATATTTCGGTTTGTGCACACGATGAGCGGATCATATTTTGAATTTTTCAATTTAGCGTTGAGACATAATCTGATTCTAATGCCTAATCTTACTAGTTAGCTCCATTTCTGTTGTGTATTCAATCTTCTTGTGTAGTGAGACAAAATCTAGCTGAATCAAGAGCTCATGTAAAACGACAAATCAAAGTCAATTAGTTAAAAAGAATTATCCTATCGTCAAAAATGTATCTGATCTTTTGAGTTGACTTACACTTTCAGACTCAAAAGCCATTTTAAAGCTTCGCAGTGAAAGCTGAACTAGAATGAATGAGAAAAGCTGATATCATTAATATATATCACTATCATGCATTATAGTAGTGGCGTAACCAGATGGGGGCTAGAGGGGGCTCAGCCCCCTCTACGGAGGCTTGAGCCCCCTCTACAAGTTTTTCAAAATTTGTTATGATAAAAAAAAGTAATTATTTAAAGAATGAAGAATTGTGTATTTGACTTTTTCATGATCGAATATAGAAAGGTAGTGAATGATTCCTTTTTCTTGGAACAGTTTGATACTTTCCACGAAGAAGCATGTAATAATTAGTGTATAATCAGAACAGTCTCAAACTTCAAAATTACATGCGCAAAAGAATACTCAGTTTAATTACTCGGTCGTAATAGAATAGATGCTGCAGAGAGGGATGCTCATAGAACGCTTTTAGCCCCCTGGAAACAGTGAAGTTCTGGTTCGAAAGATACTCGAGCCCCCTCTCGAGGTTTAGCAAAGTCTTCACCAGTGACCATTAGGCTGGAGGCTAACAGAAGGATGCTAGCCATAGTAACGGGAGTTTTTCATTGTTATTAGTTGAAACGACCCGAAAACAAATAAGTCCTCAATATATGAAAAGTTTTTTCAAAACTACAGAAATAAATAATATTTTTGTCTAATAAAGTGTTAAGTAGAATTAGAATTTTTTTTTGCTGCAGCATGAGTAGCGATTATAAAGTCATAGTTGATGGAAATATTCTCTAACCTTTTGTTTGATTAACATTTTAGGAAACCTTCAAGTCTGAAGGCTTCATTTTTTACAAGATGGTTGCGAGCGTGACCGCCTTCGGCAGCAAATATTTTTAAAAAGTTTCATAGCTGATATTTAATGAGGTTAGTTTTCCAATGAAGCGAGAAGACATAATGAAATTTATCAGCCTACAAAAAATATCCCGCTGGAAAGTATTGTTGCTTGCATAAGCATAGGCGATGATCAAAGATTTACACCCAGATCAAGGAAAATTAGTTTATCGCAGTTTTAGAAAGTATGGTTTGGATCAATAGTTCGAAGCATGAATGCTTTCGGTGTCAAAATCGCTAAGATTTTTAAGAAATTCTTCCAAAAAGTAGTTTTCTTTGAAAATATGATATAAGATTGATCGTTTTTTAAATGTGAAAAAGCCTTCTGACTTAAAGATTTTTCTTGCACTATAAATCGAGAGGAACTACCAGTAGTTAAGCTAAAAAGTGTGAATGCTTCTCTAATGTTAATAGGTCAGAACTCCTCTTCCACCCCTTCGCCCCTTTCACTTCTTCCATTGCACATTTCGATATGAGTTTCTCAAGCTTTTAATGCTTTCTTCATAGGATAATATACATTGAACTGTATTCGATACACATAAGAAACACTGAACGAAATATATTACTACTTTAAACGCATACTATCTCACGAAAAATATTCACGCGATTCTCCCAGAGTTTCGAAGGTCGGATTATCTGCCGGTCTTTGTCAATCTCTCGAAATATAACTGGGGAGAGCGGGGGTGGGGCTGAGCCCCCTCTACAGCTTTTTTTTGGTTACGCCCCTAAGTGTAGTATGTTCACAACAATAAGCTAAATATGTAAACGCTTGTTAGAGTATTCATAATTCATTTGAATCTATATAATTCACATAGTCTCGACTTAAAAGTAATTTATTACTTAAACAACCTCCCTCATGAATATATTTATGAAATGAAAAAAAAGTCTTTTTTTTTTGTATGATTTAAATAGCACACCAATGACAAATGGAAATGGTCATAGTCATCCTGTACAACAATCAACAGTAAAAAGTACATTAGCTAATCAAACTGAACGTCGATTAAATGATGGTCGTCGTTGTATTAAACCATTATGCATTCATGCTCATACTCCTACACCTACTCCATCATCAGTAGCAGCAGTATCAGAAACTCCACTTCCACCTCCTTCTCTTCCTCCTGCTACATCGAATTCTTCATCAACTCCAACAGTTCGTCATATGCCTACGATTCCAGTCGAGTCTAAACCTACCAAAGGTGTTATTCGATCATCAACTTCATCAATTACATTACCTTCATCAATTAGTTCAACTGCATTATTTCCTCCTCTTAAATTACAACAAAATTTAATACGTAAAATCAATAATGAATATGAATTACGTACAGAAAAATTAGATCAACTTTATATATTATCATGTATTAATGAAAAAACAAAATTAGTACAATGGAAAAATGTCTTTCAATCACCATTACTTGCTATACAAGCAACAAAAAATTTTATTGCCATTGTTACTTTTCAAGAAACACAACATTGTTCAGAATTATTTGTTTTACAACGACAAAGTGGTTTACGTTTATATTCAAATATTGTTCTAACACAAACATTAGCTGGCCTTTATATATCAGAAAATACGAATAATATACAACGAGCTACTATTTCACTTATTTACATTACTGGATTATTAACTGTATTTGATATAACACGTAATTCAATGACATGTCCTATTATTGATGTTAATATTGCACATTTATTACCACCACATGCATCAATAGTTGATATTTTTACATTAAATCATATTAATTCAGATACTGTTTGCTTAATAACTAGTTAGTATTATTTTTTAATTTTGTTGCTTAGATAAGATTTAGACCAACAAACTCTTCTAAGTGAACTCTCACTAGTTAGACTGGTAATAAGAGAATGTCGAACCTAAAACTTGTAATTATTGCAGACAATGTTACAGCTCATTCTAATGTTCAAGAGACCACACTGTAGCTATCGAAAAAAAAAATACATTTCAATGAGTATTGTTTTAAGAACTGAGAATGCTAGTTTCTTTTAACATCGAGAAAATAGAATAGAAGAACCAATCATTTCATTACAATAAGCGTAACGATATAGAGAGAAAACAAAAGAACAGAATGATAAGTAAGATATGCTTTCTCAACTAAGAGTATTATAAAAAGTCGGTGGGCACATCTGCTTACGAGGTAAGTCCTTCAACTGGCAAAACATTTTTTGAGTTAAGACTATGTACATTATGTAGGTCCTCATGAACTATGAAAAGAGTTTGTATCCTTACATTATTGCGGTGGAAATACTGTATTTTTACCGTTCCTATTAAGTTAACATCGTAGCCATTTCGATTTGAAATTTTGCACAGAGACAGACCTTAGTCAGAATAGTTTATTGTGAGAGTTTTCGGTCTTTTGATTTTTTTATCTTTCCCGAGATAAGAACATCAAATCTGTCGATAGTATGTCACCAGTGTAAAACGCAGTCTCTATAGTAAGTTTCTAAGTAGGATAACGACATTAGTTGAAAGAATTCTGTAAAAATATAATACATAGTCCCGACTCAAAAGCGATCTATCAGTTGAAGGACTTCGATTATCAGTTAACATAAATGCTTCTCGTATATGTTTTCAAAAGAAAATCTTGACTTTTAATGATTTTCCACATGCTTTTATTTCAGAAGTACTTTAAGAAAAAAATAAAGATATAATTGAAATCAACAAGACAAACTGCATGGAATAATCTGTCATTTGTTAGCTTTTTTTTAAAAAGAAAATTTTTAGAGTAAAAGGTTCTCTCATGCATTTTTTGAAAGAAAATAAGTCATATCTACGTGCTCTACACATTACACATTGTGAGACATGCATTAATTATTATATTATCGAGTAAGATTAAAAAAATTATCAATTCCCAAAAATCCTATCTCTCTTTATAATACTTGAGTAATAAGTTGATAATTCATAGTAGAATTGCTGGTTTTCTAATAATTTTTCTTTTAAATTCTATAGGCACAGGTCATTTATATGGATTTGATAATATGCTCAAACATTGGACATGTTTATTTCATAAACATGATTTTGTTTCTGACTTTGCACTTCCATCTGAACTAACATCTTCAGGTCCATTAGCAACGTTAACTAAATCATATGGTGCTACAATAAATGATGATGTTTATCAAAAAACTTTATATTCATCACCAAATCGTGAATTACTTGTATCAGCATATCTTGAAACTCAAATTCATCGATCTCGTATACTTCATTCATCACGTGAATATTATTTTTGGTTAACAAGTTTCGTTCGTTTTCTTGCAAGTTCATCACTTGACGATAAATCATTAAAATTAAAATCAATATTAGATCATTTAGCTGAACATGTACATAGTACACCAATGAATTCAAATGTAAATCTCATGCCTTTAAAAACCAAAGATGACTATCAAAATTTATTAAATGAATGTTTAATTATTCTTCGTAATCATGATGATGCATCAACATTAGTTCAACATTATGAATAAATAACAAGGCGCGTTTTAGCACCGATATTTTTCTTTTTTGTCTAATGTTTGTATATAATGTATGGATAGAAAAATCATGAACAACTAACAGTGCAATAGAAATAGATGTATAAATATTTTTTTTTTGTTATCTTTTGGTACATATTTGTGTGCGCGTGTATCGCCAATAAAAAATAAATGAACTATAACATAAACTGAATGAGAATATAAATAGTTACTTATGCTCAGTAGGGAGCTTTAGCATAAGCAGGCGAACATGCGGTGTTTTGCTCACAATTGGTTTTCATTTGACTAGTAATGATAATATATCACTCAGACAATCGTTTTTAAGAAAATAAAAGGGTTTTTCAAGAAAAAACGTTTTCGACAAAATATGGCTGGGGGCACCCAGCCTTTTTTTTTTTCAAAAAATGTTTTTTGTAAAAGCATGTTGAGCTACATGTAATTAGATGTAGTTTAATGCGCTGATTCAGAATATCACCTTAATTTTTTCTCAAAGTATAATATGAATGTTTAAAACTGGATTTTCGGCCAAAAACCTCATGATTCGGAGAAAACCTCTAAAATAACCTAGGAAAGATTTTACTAGTTGGTGCTGAAATCTGATGCACTTTGACGAGCTAATTCCAAATATCGTCTTCATTTTTCTCCAAAGTTTACCATGGGTGTCTGAAACCGGATTTCTGACCAAAAGCCATGGGTTTTTGGAAATTCTGTAGAATATTCTAGAAAAAATATCATGAATTGGCGCTACTGCCATCATTAGGATACATGTCCAAGCATATCTAGTAAAAAATTCAGCTCGATCGGACGTGACCCCTTCGTAGGGTTTTCAAAGTCCGAAACGGCAGGGTTCCGGGCCTGGATCTGCGTTGAAAATGGGTCAAAAGTTTCTTTAAAACTTATTTTATATATATGGCTCGATGCAGCTCGACTAGCTGATTCTGAATATCACCTTAGTTTCCCTTCAAAGTGTAGCATGGATGTCTAAAACCGAATGTTTGCTCGGAAACCTCGGATTTTTGGGCACCCTCTAAAATAGCCTAGGAAATGTTTCAAGAGCTGATGCTACTGCAGTAATTAGAATACATACATACATATATCTGGTAAAAATGCACGCTCTATCAGACGTTATCTCTTTGTAGGGTTTTCAAAATACGGCACGGCAAGTTTTCAGGTAGGGTTTCCGTATAAAGACTCGTGGTTTTCTACCTTATTTTAAATTGGATTACAATAATTTCTTTTTACCATAAAGTCCATAGGTGAGGAAGTTTTTTGCGATATTGTTTGTTTGTGGAATATCATGTTATCTTGCCGAGTGGCTTGACTTTCTTTATTTTTGCCGTTTTCTGGGCTCAAGCTTTGTCAGGCTCTTTTCTAGAGCTTTATAAAACTTTGAGAACCGCTATTTTAGGAAATGATGGATCACATATGTATGTACCTACGCAAATGGTTAGATTGTGGAGAAGAATTTTTTCGGATATGTCCGCCTGGCTCCCGACTGTGTTATGGTGAAACAAATAATGTTTGCAGCAATATATTAGGAAGGACAAATACTGCCTAAAAATGTGGTTATTTGGGTATGGATGTTGATATTCTCTTCATCGCCATGTAAACACAAACAAACACAATTTCAGATAGTATTTACCCTTGGAAAATTTTCGTCAATAAATATTGATAAGAAACTTATACCAGAGTGTAGCCCGTGAAAAACTATATCGAAATTTCAATAGGAAAATTCTAGGTGAAGCCATTTTGAGAATGATTGAGAAACCCCAACCTTCATGACATACTTAGTATATTGAGATAAACAATACTTGTTTCACCAATCCTTCAGCTCATATTTAATACTTCGGCATGATTTATATAGAGATTTGTGTAAAGTGTTTCGTTCTTTCAAATGAGACTTTTTACACTCCGGTGAACAAATGTTTTGACGAATTTATTCTGAAAATATCACTGTCTCGATGTAGTAAAAATATGACACAGTAATCTGTGTCGCTTCTCAAATAGATTAAATTAGGCATAAAAAATCAATTCAAAATTACGCCACTACTAGTGAACTGCGATAACTGAACTATAACTGCATATCGATCAAAAATATAGAATGTTGAACTGTATTTACAAGGTTTTTTTTTACAGCTATGCTTCTATTATTATGAAGGTAAAAGACGATCATTACAAGTAAGAATCGAATACAATTGAATTCAATTAAGTTAAGAATTACTAAATTGAACATTTGCTTTTTTACTAGTGCTCGATTCATCTTGATTTATTTATATCAATATATATGAATGTCACAAACGAGATTAAAGTTTAGGTAGAAAAAAAACTTGAGCAAATTTCTTTTTCAATTAGGAGAAAAACCAAGAAATAAGTTTCTTTTATTTAGAAATCAATTCTAATTTTCATTTATATTCTCAGAAAATTGGATTTGTTCATTATTTCTAGGTAGACAGAATATTTATTTTCACTAATTTATATTTTAATATGTGCACGAATGACTTCTGTATTGCTATCAGAAAACAATTTTCCAAAATATTTTTCTGAGCAGGGTGTGGGTGTTGATCTTCTCTTCATCCACACTTTAAAAGAAGCATATATGTACTAGGTTCTATTAATGAATCTGAAAATGAGAATCTATTTTCAAGTCAAAAAAAATTTTTTCGTAGTTGATCGTCTGATTAAAACGAAATTTTGCCTAACAATGGAAGACCGTGTACTGTAAAGTAAAAACATTGATCATACTCGGATTAAATGAATGCTCTCACTGTTAAAATATATTAATTTAAAATATGAGCAACGCATAGCATGTACAACTTGAAATATTTGAATTTCAAGATATTTAGTCTATCATGTGTCCACATTACAAAATTTGAGTAGCATTTATTTTTGCTTTTTTCGTCATGGTTGGATAGAACAAGAAGAGTTACATAATTAACAACAATATCATGCATATTAAAAACCAATTTCACGAAATTGAAAAAAGCATTCTTGATAAATATAAGAGTAATAGACAGAAAATTTTAATTATTGTAAAATTAGTTTTTAATATGAATGGATGAAAAAATGCCTAAAAAGAAAATATATCGAAAAAACAAACATCGAGAATTGTGACGATAAGAGATGGTAGGCCTGCAATCTTTTAAACATTCTTCATTTCGTTGGTCCATGCTTGTGTTGATATCCACCTCTCTGAATACAATATCTATATAAGGTATAGGCAGTTCAATTTTTTTTTTGCCACATAGATCGATAGAGCAGAGTTGTCGATTGTATCTAGGAGTGGGGGGAGGATAAAAATTTTGCAGAAAGTCCATTTGTTTTACAATTTTTAGTTCACCTAGAAATCTTTTAAGAGTAAAAAAAAAAATCATGTTCGTCTAAAAGAGAAGGCACTTCCAAATATATTTAAACTTTCAAAAAATAAAGACATTTTAAGGTGCAGGTAATTCAAACTTCAAGTTAATCTTTTTTTCTCCTTTTTTTTTACATCACTTGATAGAGCGTGGGCCGCTGATCACAAAAAAACCACTTTTTAGCATCAGTAAATGCTTTTTTCAGGTCGAAAAATACAAAAAACTTGAAGGGCGTCGTTTTTTTTTCGAAAAATATCTTTTTCAAGATATGCAAAATTTTCTGCTTCATTCTTTTTTCCAGCTTCTAAAGATATTTTTTTTCAGATTCAGCATCAAAAACTGAGTAAAGACAAGTTGTTACATCGAATCCAATCTTGAAAATTTTTTGATGATGCCGCTTCGAATCGCGCCCAGTGCAATACGTGTAGGTCGATTTTGTAAGCCTATCTAGTTTTTTTACGTAAGAAATGAAGTCAAATATTTTATCACATTTAACTCATCATACCACCAGTTACAAAAGTATGTATCGCGTTTTTTTCTTTTCTTTGTTGAGAAAAACCTGTTTTTCTGAATTTTGGGTTAAATAGATTGAATTTGGCTCGTATTTCTCCGTAAAAACTAAGCTCTCCTGCAATAATCTTATCATATTCGGAATCAGTACGAAAAACTGAATCGATTGATATATGATTTAACCTTTTCCATTGACTTCAGTTTTTTCAGTTTTCGGAGAAGATCTGGCTGAAATTTTCACCAAAAAATTAAAGGTAACGAAACTTTTCGAAACATACATCAATCGATTTAGTTTTTCGTACTGATTCCGAA